TGACAGGCACAAGCTGGTATAGAAAACACATTTGAACTTGGTCAAAGTTCATTCTGCAAGTCCAATGCTGCAGGCAAAGCCATGCTGCAATGACATGGCAATGCACATTTGTTTTTACATCGTAAAAACCCATGTCTAGTTGTTTTTGATATTGTTTTAAATCACTACATTTATTACATAAGGTTCTGTATGTTGTATTCATGATAAAATGCATCAAAATAAACTATTTCAAAGGGAACATATCTTTGTAATACTTGGTTTATTTACATAATGACTTTAATTGCTGGATGTTCGGCCCCTGTGCTGTTGGTCTGCATTAAATGGGCCCCGGAGTTGGTTTTTTGTGGATCAACCACTTGGAGACCCACATTAAAAGGCATGGCATTGTGTTGATGTGGTGCTGAGCCAAARATTGTCTCATCCAGGCTGAGGAGTAAAGACAGCTGTCCTGCAGCGGAAATGGGTGAGTCCACGTTTGGTTTCCAAACTGGAAAAGTACAATCAAGGCATAAAYCCTCCCCTTCTGATAAGAAACCCATTATTTCCAAACAAGAACAAGAACAGGAAYCCCACCATAAAACTACAACGTCCAAATGACTGCTCAAACACCATTAAACGWACATTTAAAGAGTCTTTAGAGAAAACTGGCTTGTTTCCTCTCTTAGTTTTGTTTAACTCTYAAAGAAATCTAGATTCCCACCACTGCCAGGCTTTGCAGAGAGATCTTACATCTCCTTTGAAGGCCTGATGTCTTTGTGTCCTCCGCAGTCCAAAGCCATGCGTGAGCGATGGCTCCTCCAGGGAATGGCGGCCGAGGAAGAGGAGGCCCGGCGGAAACAGCTGGAGAAGGATGAGGAYCAGGGCAAAATGCTTGAAGATATGATACACAGGTAACGATGCACCACTCTGCTCGTTTTCACAAGCGCTCGTTCAACAGAGAAGGAACAAAAAGAATGACAGGAAACACAAACTTTAGCAGTGAAAAGAAAGGGTTGAAAGCGAGACGAGTGAAAGTGGAGCAGAATGTAAAAGGAAGCAGAAACATTGAGGAGAAGAAGTGGTMGAAAGGCTGGGAAAAAAAGGAGAGAGTGATGGGCTACATGAACTTCCTCTGTTTGTCTTTAGGAGGGGCTTCCTGATTCCCATTACTGCAGCAAGACAGTCACTGATTCCCTCGTGAAGTTTYGAGCATGAGGTCATACCGCGAATAAAACACCAGCCAGCTCTTGTCATTATGATGCTGCTGCTGAGCCTTCTCTGAAACAAAGTGAAGCAGACTGAAAGGGGTTGATTAAATTCAGCAGAAAGCATGTTCTCTGAAACTAGAAGATTTATTAAACTCAGAATTAAGTCAAATTTGCTTTAAATAACCTGAGCAATTTTTCAGATTCCTGCTTTGACTCCTCATATCATGAGCAGTTCCAGAGATATGCCTTGATTTGTCTCATTAAGCAGGATAACTCACTGATGTTTGGTCTGAATCTCAATTTTAGGTTATTCTAATGAGGAATATTTGGTGACATTTTAAAGAGAAAACCTTGAACAGTTGATGAATATTAAGATTTACCAGCTGAGAAGAAAAAAACAGTCTCTCTCTCCCAGGGAAAACGTCAAAAGTTCAAAGCTTTTCTGCTCAAAATCATGTTTTTTGTAGTTATTGCTCCTAGGCTTACAGATATTATTTGTATTTATTCATGATATTTTGACAYAAAGCAATTGTTGCAAACAWTTTAACCAAAACATCATTTCTGTTTCTCCACACCTAATCCTCGGTTCGCTGCGATGGGTCATATATTTTTTATTCTGATTCTAAAGCAACACTCAGACATGCATTTGGTMCAAAATAGATTTAAAACACATGCATCATTTTAACCACTTACTATCCCATAAACTTCAGTCCTTAAACCTAAAATCACTGAAGGTTTTCTGCAGTTGTGAAGGAAAATAAAATCGTCACCCATGGATTTAAGTTTTAAATGTTTTTTTTTTATGTTTCTTTCTTGTTATACTTATAAATGTATTGTATGTTTACTGTCGTGATATATTCTGAATCATTTCAACTGATGATGTGAGCTTCGGGTAGAGCGCCTTTAAAGTGTCATTTCTTGTTCCAGATTAAAACACACACACACACACACACACACACACACACACACACACACACACACACACACACACACACACACACACACACACACGTAGTTTCTGCACAACTAGAATGCAGAACTGTTTGTTTTGTTATTATTGGAATGTGAACATGGAAGAGATGATGGAATAGGAAGTTTGAGGACCACAGAAAAAGTTTTAACTGCAACTAGGAATTTTTGCTGCTCGGATAAAGAACCACTCCTTGCATCAGAAATAACCTGAAATAACCAGTTTTGGGACTGGTTTCTGCTAAAGGTATAAAAAAGATGCTGTGTCCTCAGCCTCAGCTTGTATTGCTGWATGCATGTTGACTCTCATTTTATTGCAATAAAATTACACAGAGACCACTGTAGTGAAGAACCTTTTTGATCACGTATTTCTGCACTTTGTTTAACAGATATGGAAAAGTTTTTTTTTCCACCACACAGTTTTTTTACTTTGTTGAATGGAGTTGGTTCTGCTCCGCGTTTCTTTGGGTTTTGGTTGTTTGGTTTTGCAGAACATAACTGACTCAGTAAATGATGACTGACCGCACYGCAGCTTAAAGACTGCCTTGTCTTTGTGGCCGTTTTCTGAAAGTGCCTATTGAAAACTGAAAGCGCATTTGACCAGACCAGCCCTTCAAAATACTTTGCCATCCTGCGAGCCAGACTCCCACCCCACCTCCTCATATTACAGCACGAAAGACTCTGCGAAACGGCTATCAGCCGTGCACTGAAGCTCACAGTGTCCGTGGTGTAAACAGAGCAGCGGTGAATGGTCAAACAGACAGCACTGTTGGCTACAGTCGAGTTGTGACTTGTGGAGCCGTTTCATGTGAATCGCTTCATTCAGTTGTGGTGAAAAGAGCTGCTGTCTCACAGACATATTGCACTTTGTGGTTTTAATTACTCGCYAAAGCAATTGAGCTTTAAACAACTCTGCATGTGTCTGGTTTATTTATCTCTCTCTCTCTCTTTAACAGTGRAAAGCCTTTTGAACGATTGGCTTAAAACGCTGACGAAGCTGGAAACTGTTAGAGGCAAAAGTGACAGTTTGTGCRACTGCTTCTGTTAGCATAATCATTTTTATAAAGCACCAGGTGGAATTTAATGAAGTTCTCAGAACYTTATCATTGAATATCRACAGCTGATTAACATTTGGAGTCGGTCCAGTTTCCAGGCGACCCCCGCAGCTCGTCAGGTTGATGTCATTGGGTGAAGGTGAAGTATTTCTGGGCTTGATGCCCCTGCAGGAGAGGACACTGACAGACACCACGTGCACATTTCAGGCAGAGGGTGTGTCGCCTATATTTACACTCTGCTGGACACCATCCCAGAATATCCCGTAACAAGTGGGGGGGCTGGAATGTTTCCACCGCTGACAGGGGGACAGAGGTGAAATGTTGGCTTGAATGTGAGGGCTGAATACTCTGGAGCGTGACAAAGAGTACAAAGCTGTAATCATTTCTGAAATCTGAAATTCAGCGCTGAAACTTACACCCACGTTTATCCTCCTGCTGGACAAACTTTTTTTTTAAAGTGGACTTCACCGTCTCACGGGCTCGGACCTCTTGTTGGTCCATAAACTCTGCAGAAAACACCCCAGTGTGTCACGATTGGTGTCTGTGTTTTTATTCTAGTTTTCTYTCTWGTCATCTGTTTTCCTCCTCCTGTCTGTCTTTGCTCCAGCCCCGCCCACTCACACCTGATCCTCATGTTTCTCCRCCAGGTGTTTCTTGTTTGTGCTCATTAGTCTCACCTWTAAATTCTGTCTTGTCCCCACATCRCTGTTTGTTTGATCATTGTTCTGTACTGTGTTGTGTGTTCCAGCTTTAAGGTTTTCATGTCCTGTGTTTTTTGCCTTGTTAATTTCTTGAGCTGCCCCATCAGCACTTTTTGTTTAAATGATTTTTGGTTTTTTMWAACTGCCTGCGCCATGGGTTCTTRTCMGCCTGAAAACCGTGACACAYTGTGGATSCACTATACAGGCTGGAAAACATGGAAAATAAAAATGGAAAAGAAGAACTGAGCAAAAAAATAAAAAAAGACAAGATGGAACAAAAGTCTTGTCAGACTATCCTGAGCCTGAATCAGCAAAATGTGACTCAAAGTCTAGAAGCATTCCCTGGAAGATGTCAGTCTGGTCCTTGACATCTATAATATTCAGCTTGAAAAAAAATTACAGCCAAAGTTTTTATGTTTTAAATCTTTAGTGTCTTTCTTAGTTTATTGTAGAAAATGTGTAAAGGCACAGGGTTAATTGACCCCCAACAAATAAAGCTATTGTTTTCAGCAAGGATCTCCCACAGCAAATGTTAGTACAACATCTGTGCAATTGACTGAATTAAAGTAGGGATGCACCGATATGAAAATTTCAGCCGATATCGATATCCAATAATATTATCGGAGTTATGGCCGATAACTGATATTACACAAACACACTAATTAGTTATTTACATACTGTATACACACAATCACGCTTGTCTTTTTTTGATACAGTAAAAAAATGACCAGACCTCTGACATGGCTCTGCTTCAGTTATCCCTGGCTGCACTGCGTCACTAACACTAAACGGATACCACTTGACCAACTGTTTCTCTTCCAAAAACAGAAACATCAAACTAAAAAGTGGGAAATCAATATTGGATGTTAATACCAGCCTAGTTTTAATTGTCMGACTTGTATGWTATTCTAAAAAAGGACCAATATCGGCCGARACACTGTAGGTGTTAGTGCTGATATATTGTGTATCCCTAAATTAAAGTTGTTATTGTTCGTGCAGTTTCGTTACTTTCCCAACCTTAGTCTCCTACCAGAAACCACAAACCTAATGGAAAACAAGCTATAAAAATCAAAAGACAAAAACGCCCACAAACAACTGCAGCTTTGTACCATTTTTTTATAGGTTCTGCCTGCTTTTTTGCTTTTTAACCAAAAATAAAAATAAAAGCGGTAAAGCAACAGAGCCATCTTTGTGCAGGCTGTTACTAACATACCTCCAGCTACTGAGAGCGAAAACTGTGTGGCATCCACGTCTGTTCGAAAAACTCGACAAAACGACAGCGCGATAAAGAAACAGAGGCCACTGTGTGGAAGAGGTGAGGGTGAGGAGACAGAATGACAGGGTGGCAGCAGCCGTGGTACTTTTACAGAAATCCCTATCATTACATGAACAGGCGGGGTAAATACAGAGCAGAGGAAGGCCCATTCACAGGGTGGGCCCTGAGCTACCCGCACCGTGCCCCTTTTGGATCATGGCTCGCTTTGTGTCGCGCAGACAGCTTTGTGCAAATGTTGTCGTCATTGTGAGGAAGATGTGTGGTTTTTCAGCCTGAGCGCCCTGCCTCGAGGCAAGTTTCTCAATTCGTCCGGGTAAATTGTGCAAAACTGGAGGCTTTTATGCAGTTATTGACACTGATAGAGCATGCATCGAGTTTTAGCTCAGAAAAACATGTGGGTCGTCATACAACCTGGCTCACTTTTCCTCAGTTTTTTATTTGTTCAAAATAGTTACATAATCACACGTTACTGTTGTATAAAAACCAGTCTGTTTCCTGCTGGTGCTCTTCTACTGACAGAAAATCAGTGTTTTTATCTCATCTATCAAAAAAAAAAAAGACCAGAACACAAAAAGTCTTGGTTCTAAACTGAAAACAAAAAGTCCAGGAGGGCATCGGGTTGCAGAGAAGAGAAGGAAAAAAAAGAAAGCAGACCACATATATAAAGACAGCTGCTTGGCAAAGATTACTAAAGTTTTATTT